TCATATATCTATTAAAATACTGATATTCTGGTCTATAACTCCTCCCCGAACTTCCCGCTGCCCTGTATCTTGGTCTCTCATTGGCTGTAGGTCATCGCCGATGTAGTTTTCAATCAGAAATCATTGCACACTGCGTGATTGTGAATCGCCGACAGCTCCAGATATTTAGCATGCCAAATATTTCGCGGGCGTCGGCGACGTGTCAGCGCTAACCTCAGATCGTGTCTTTGATAATTCACACTGCGTGATTGTCATTCGCGTGAACGAGCACCTATTTGCATCCGATTTCGGGCATTTGTCGGCGATTTCGCAAAACCTGTTGGCGAGTGAAAAATTTGGCAAAATCGTGCAGTGTGAACTCGGCATAAATAAAAATTAGAAATGTTGCCTCAGCAACTAGCTGAAATAAAATAAGTTTTCTATATTTTTCGATCTTTTATTTGTTATTTCATTTCAAATAAATTTTATTTCAAGTAACAAAAGTAGCTTTTACAGTTTTAGTTTTACTTAACTACAATTACCCTGATATATCATATAATTTTTTTTTACATATATAATTAAAATGTTTTGTTTTTGTTTCTAGTCCTTCAGTTTAAACTTAGAAATGATCATGTTATTTTCAACAGAAACAATACATAATATATACTTTGGGGATTTCATATATTGGACATTTGGGTTTCGAGGCAGATCAGCACTGATGTTGACCTGTGAGAGTGACAGCATGGAAACTGTAGAGGTGTTATTGAAAGGCGGAGCTAACCCACACCTTACCGATGCCCTGGGGCACAACTCCGCCCACTACAGCATCACCGCCGGCAACCACAACATTACCCTGCTTCTGCAGAGCATAGGCGTTTCCACAGGTAACCACACACATCTCGTCCTCACCTTTAATTTCTTCGAGAGAGAGGGACCATCTGGTGCCTAGTGGTTCTCTGATGTTTGGCCCCCATTTTTAATTTGGATACGCTCGTAATCTGAGAGCAGAGACTAAAAAGCAGATGTTACGTTGGGTCAGGGGATGAAAACACAGAGAAGTTTGCTAACTCGAGTTACAAAGGCCGATTGGAAACATATGTCGCTCTGAGTTGGAAATGGATCCCAGTGTTAATAAAGGGCCCCTGTGGTCGTACCACCTGACAGAGTGATAAATGTGCTGCCTGTCTGCTTTCATGTTGCCTCTTTTTTAAATGCAACAGTGAGCATGTGGTGGAACGGGAAGATTATATATAGTTATGTGTTTGAACGTGGCTTGCAGAGTGTGTTTGGAGTGATGGTGTGTGTGTGAGTCTCACCGCACTGCTGTCTGTTTCTTATTTCTGTCCCATGCATTCCCAGCCACTGAGGGTTCGAGTGAGGAGGTAATTGTCAAAAGAAACGGCCTCTCCCAACACTTTATCACATGCATACAAATAACTAAACCACAGAAAATCCTCAAGGATGGTCAGGGATGGATTATGCTGCTCTAAAATACCAATGTTTCACAAATATAGTCGATTTTATTACTCAGCTGAGAGTCGCTTAAATGCGGTATCCAGACAGCTTGATTTAAAGGGGTCATATGATGCTGCTAAAAAGAACATTATTTTGTGTATTTGGTGTAATGAATTGTGTTTATGCGGTTTAAGTTTCAAAAAACACATTATTTTCCACATACTGTACATTATTGTTGCTCCTCTATGCCCCGCCTTTCTGAAACGCGTCGATTTTTACAAAGCTCATCGGTCTGAAAAGCGAGGTGTGCTGTGATTGGCCAGCTATCCAGTGCATTGTGATTGGCCGAATACCTCAAGCATGTGACGGAAATGTTACGTCCCTTACCATACTGTGATGCCTTGTCCCGGCGTGACGAGACAAAAACATTAAAACCCATTACAAACGAGGCATTTGTTGCATCCAGTGGGGACATAATTACGGATTATAATGACTTATACTGTGTTTTTACGCGTTGCATCATGCCGCGCCTCTTAAACATAAAACCATGTCTGCATTTGTGATCGGAGAAATGACAAACAACAAACGCTACTCTACACTGCTCAAAACTCGTGTTTGAATCGTTAGTGGCAAATTCTTTATATATAAAAAACGTACTTACAGTCTGTGAGTCAGAACAGCCGGCATTGTAGTCTACTCTTCCAGGATCAGGAAACAGTCCTCCATAAAATGTGCTGCACACATCTGAATATTTGGGTTGAAGTGTTCTGGAACAGTGTTGTAAATACAACTTAACCACTAATTTCTAGTTGTGTCCTCTTTTGGAAGGCCAAACAAAATAGTTTCGTTTTCACAACGAAACAGTGTCACACACGGCAGGCTAGAGTTAGCAGAGGCTGGCTTGAATGAGCGGCGGCCGGTGGGCTTGAGAACGGCGCGGCAGGCGGATTTTCGACGAAGGAGCGTCCGGCGGGCTTGCGGCAACCACATGTGACGACCCCGGGCTGGACTCTGCTTCGTCCACGGTGAAAGCCGATCCGGTGATCTTTGGAAGACCAAACAAAGAAGTTTCGCTTTCACAACGAAACACACAAAACACAAACACACAGTGCCTTCACGACATGGTGGCGGCGGGCAACAACAAAACTACAGCAAGAATAAAAGTTACGCCGCCTTTCTTTGCGTGAACATTTGGGCGGCGTTATACAAATTTTCCCACATCGTGACGTAGACATGTGGGGGCGTGTTAGAACGAGCCGTTTTAGGTAGGCGTGGTTGACTCTTAACTTTTATAAAGAATATCTCTTTGGATTTGAGACTTTAGTCTTTGCAACTTCACAGTTCTTCTTTGTGCACCAAGAGCTTGTAACACTCCAAAGAGAAAGGAAAAATTGAAATCGCATCATATGACCCCTTTAAAGGTGAAGTGTGTAATGTTTGCACCCCTAGTGGCAACATGTGGGATTACAAAAATCATTTTCAATCCTCCAATATTCTGGTTTAAGGTTGTGGTCAGATTTACTCATCTTCTGCAAATTTTCATAGGCAAAATAGTGATTTTAATAGTAATTCCATGCAATTGTGAATTCTGCAAAAGAGCAAATAATTTTCACACAACAGGTTCTAAAAATTTGTTGTTTTGACCAACAGAAAGCTGCTTGGTTTGAGAGTGATTTCTGTGTGAGTGGTGCTTTATGTGTCACTACATTATTAATAATAAACAATGGAGCTTTTGCCTGCAAAATTTTGTGTGAATTCCACGAATGTGACCACATCTTTACATATAGTTGTCTCTGCATGTTGGAAAAGAAAAAAATGTTTAAACGTGGAAAAAAATGGCACACTTTCTTTTTAACATTACATAAGTATGCACTTCACCTTTAAGAAGTCGCATCAGTAGTTTGAAGACAGAAGTGCATGTTACAAATCTAACTAACTGCTGCTGCTGATTTGCTTTGCTTTCTAACTTGTCTATCCTGAAACTCCGCCCACACCAGCAGGCTCCTCCTCCTCCCAATCCCCCATCTAGTGGAACCACACCCCGCAAAAGGAAAGCCCCTCCTCCTCCTAAATCTCCTGCTCAGGTACAATGGGATTCATGAATCCCATGAAACATTATAAATATGATAATATGATAAATATAAAAAAAAAAAAAAAATTGTTTTAAAGGGATAGTCCACCCAAAAATGAAAATTCTGTCATCATTTACTCACCCTCATGTTGCCCCAAAACTAGGTCTTTTTTTCTGTGGAACACAAAATGTTTTAATAAATGATCACACTGCTCTGTTTTAATATTGAAGAGGTTGTCAAGCTTGCAAAAGGACAAATAAACACCATAAAAGTATGACAGGTTTTTCATTTTTACGAACTATTCCTTTAAATGCATGGCACTGGGTCTTATTCAGTAATAATTGTATGGATTGTTCATATTTATGCACACTTGAGAATGTCTTAAAAAATTATGAAGTACAGTTATTCATAACACATTCGCAACACAGAGGAATTTGTTCTTAATCTCGTTCTAATGTTAATGAATTTGGAATATTCTAAATTAATCTTCTAAATAAAACACACCCAAACCATTTCCATATAAGGGCTTTTGTGAAAATTTGAAAGCTTTTGATGAATCATGATTTGCTTGTGCAAATGTTCCTATGAAGTTTTCACACACAAATTAGTGCATACATAGGGCCCTATGAAATCAGTTTTATTTTTTTCCCAAATTCTGTTTAATTAAAAAAAAAATAAAAAATCAATTTTTAATTGTTCTGTAATCTGCGTTAATGATTAAATTAAATTTTAGTATTTAAAAAACATGTCTAATTAATTGAAAATCGTGAAACTTGAATATAACAACAATTTATCAAGTTTAACAAAAACAATCATTTTCAGGCCCCTATGAAATCAGTTTTATTTTATCACAAATTCAAATTTTTCTTTTTAATTCATACAGTATATAACTTAATATTTAAATAGCATTATTTTTCCCTTTGTATTCACAGACACTAGTCCACATCGCAGTTTGATCAAGTGTGCAGCCCTTTTGATTTATTCATCCGAAATGTGCAAAATTCCATGTTATATTGTAAATTCCATTTTTATGACTGAATTCCATGATTCCTTTCGTGTTTTCAACATCACAGAATTCATAGGGCCCTAGTATCATACACATGGTTTTTGAATGACATCCATTGTTTTAGTTAAATATGCATGGCTTATGCTTAATAATTCTGTAGGGCCCGCCCCCTTCCTCAGACGCCTCAAGCACGCCACCTCCCCCTGTCCCCACCCAGTCACCTGACTCACAGAGCCCCGCCCCGCCTTCTCCTGCCCCCAGGACCCAACTTGCCCCATCTGAGAACCTTGTGAGTGACAACCAATATGAAAAACTTTTTGCTTATAACGAATTGTAACTAATTTGGCCAACCTAACCCCATAGTCAGCAGTCACAGTACATCATAATAACATACACATTAAGTAATTTGCGCAGTATTCCATGTGACTATTTCTGCGTTGTGACTATTTCTACAATGTGTGTTTGTGTGTCAGGTGGAGGATGAGGAAGTCTTTGAAGAGATCCGTAAGCTCAGGCTGGAGAGGGGTCGCCTGCTGCAGAAAATCAAGGTTCTGGAGCAGCAGCAGAGCAGCGCCACCACTGCCCTGGCGGAGGTACTGCACTTCTTTAACTATAATAAACTTACTAGCAATTTCCACTGAAAGGGAACAAAATGAAACAAAAAAAGTAATATTTCAGTGAAAAGTGGCGCTTTACTTTCAGAAAAAGCTGATTGTCAAAATCAGGAGTCCAAAAAAAGTCCTATGATGAATGTTTAAATATGTGCTGCACGCTTTCCTCTCAATAACAGAAAAACCACAAAACAAAAACTTGTATGAGTTTCTTTTGTCTGCTGAAGACAAAAGATATTTTGAAGAATCTTGGTAACCAAAATAGTTGACTGTAGCCATTGACTTCCATACAATTTTTTTTCCCATATACTATGGAAGTTAATGGCTACCATCAACTGTTTGGTTAACAACATTATTCGAAATATCTCATTTTGTGTTTAACAGAAGAAAGAAACTAATACAGGTTTGGAACAACTTGTGGGTGAGTAAATTATGACAGAATTTTCATTTTTGGGGGATCTATCCCTTTAAATTTGTGTGATTTTGTCATATAGCAGTTATCACTAAATATCAAAATGTTCTACAGCTAAACTCTCTGAGAGAGCGTCTGAGCGAGGTTGAGGCAGAGCGTGACCGACTGCTGGCCGAGCTGGAGGAGTTGAGAGCAGCCCAGGTGAGCGGTGTGACCTGTGACTCTGAAGACGCGGAGGACTCAGATGACATGTTGGACTTCCCAGGTGAGCCAAGAACACTTCCTGTCACAAAAGTGAGTGGAAGAGCTGGAAAAAGTCCTGGAGCAAATTAAGTGGAACATTTCTGTTTATGTCGTATCGGGAGCAGAGAAGTTACTATCTAAGCAATCGCAAGGTCTGGATGCTGATTTGCCGGCTGAGGGCACCTCTCAAGAGAATCCTGCCATGGTAGACCAGCTTCGCAGAAAAGTGGAGGAAATGACCTCCCAGAATGCCGACCTGGTTCTCAAAGTGCAGGTGGAGTTTCTCTCCTTTAAACACACATTTGCAGAATGCAAGCAAAGCACTAAATCACAGGCATGCACACACACATACAGAATGCTGACCTCATTGTCTGTGTTTAGATGTGTTTTCGGCAGCTTCATAAAGGTTATTCAGATGGGCACGATAAATATGCACTAACCACATACTGCATATGACCTGCTTCTTAAAGCCCCACATGTGCTTTAGAGATTTAAAGATGGGAACACACAACACATGCACTAGTTCAACCTGATGCTGTATATGTAGCTCAGATATAGATGTATTTCCTTTTGTATTTTTTGCATTCTCAACAGTCATTCTCATCACTGTTATTTTTACATTGAAAATATACCCTTCATTTTTAACTTAATTGTAACAACAACAATGTCAAAAAAATAAAAAAATTACCTTTTTTTTCATGAGAATAAAATGAAAAATTAAACTTAAGAAAATATTTAATCTCTTATTTATTAGGGGCCATAGGCATCTTTTGTATCCTTTAGTGTTCTTCTTCTAATTCCTCTGCTCTGGAAATCTAGGGCAGCCCATAGAACCGTATGGTAAAAAATTATGAAATTTGGCACACTGATAGAGGACAGCCCCAACATTAACCACACCCAATTTGGAGTCTCTAACTCAAACCCTCTAGCGCCACCACTTGTCCAAATTTGCACTCACGTTTGCGCTAATAACTTTTGAACCGTAAGGCTAGAAACAAAAGTTAATGAAAATTGAACCATTTGTCAAAGAGCTCACCAAAGTGGACGTGACACTTTAGCGTATTCAGACCAAACTTGGTGTGTATTATGACAACCATGATCTGAGGTTACCTGCACAGTTTCAGTTTCAGCACAGTGCTATATTTTGCTTATAAATTCTGAACGGTTCGGCCAAAAATCACAAGATTCAGTTCGATATAGAACAATACCCAATTTTCCCATGTTGGCCATTTTGAGCGTTAGCCATTTTGAATTTTGACAAAAAAATGCTATGTTTTACAACAGCATTGGTGTATCGTCAAGAAACGTATGTTTTCAGCACCATGCCCTGAAGGTACTCAAAAAGCCACATTGTGGTCAAAAATTGGAATTTCAAAAAATGCTAATAGCTTTTGATTAGTTTTGCCTATTATCATGAGACTGATCTTGATAAATTCCTTGGATCATGCCGAGAACATTGATACCAATTATCCCATAATCGGCCAAACTTTCTGCCCTCCATTTTGATTTTCTCTGAAAACCTACTTTTTCGAACTCCTCCTAGACCACTGCTTTGATTTTCACCAAATTCAATTAATATCATCTTCAGACCATGCTGGCAAAAATGTATGGATTTCGTGTAGATAGATGAAATGGTTTCTGTTTAACGCATGAATTTGCTGGAATGATGCCAAACTGCGTCTGAGGCTGTATTCTCTGCAAAGCTTTGACATATTGATATCAAACTTTGTATGTGCCATTGTCACCTCACACTGACCACACCACATCAATTTGATAACAGCACCACCTATTGGTCAAAAGTGATAAACCATTAAATCATATTACTAGTTGGTTGTATAAATGATGTTTCAGTCATTTTGAGATTATACTTTGACACACAATTCCCAATTATAATCATATGTTTCATGGTCTTAGTATACAGAGAGCTTATTTATGAAGCTAAAGCACAGCTGACAATAGCATTAATCAGATCAGTGTGGTACTGCATTCTGGTAAAAATAGCATGGCATGTATGTGAAGTGCTAATATGACATTCCACAGCCCTTGTGGAAAATGTTAGGGGAACATGTGCAGCAAACGTATGTTTTCTTGTTCAAATGAGCTTAGTAGAAAGTGTTTAGCAAATTTATCACTTACAACTGCACATTTTAAATAAATCAGCCATGTTTGGGAAGGTTCTCCAAAACTGGGTTGTATTTTCATTGAAGTCCAGGGTTAAACAAACAGATCAAAGAACGCTATGAGGATAATGGCTGAGGCAACATATGGCAACTACATGTGCTGTCTTTAAAAAAGAAAACCAATAAATACCTTAGTTATTGCAATATTTTTAGCTCTATTGTGTTGTGGTCTGCAGATGCTGGAAATGTTTGAGAAGGATGACACGGATATGCAGAGCTCGGGCCCAGATTTTGTTCCCACAGCTCAGTATGAATCTTTAAGGAGAGAGTTTGAGGAACTACAGGAGAAATACTCAAGAGCCCAGGCTTCAACTGAAGCTTCAAGCATCGCAGAGGATCCTGGGTAATATGGTTAAAATGAGATCAGACTAATATTTTATCAATCTCTTTCTTGATATGATTCAGATAGAACATACTGTATATGTCGTCTATATCTATTAATTTGGTGTATTTTTGTCTGGAAGACAAAACTTTTTTTTTTTTAGTTTTTGCTTATTGTCAATGTTAACATGTAACTTGTTTCTTCATTGGATATTATCGACCTTATTTTAAACGTAAGAGTGGGCACGGCCAATTGTAACTTGACTGTGCGACGTTCGCTTTAGTTATTTTACCTTTTCAAAAACAGTCCATTATACTGCTTGATATTGCAGAATTCAGCTATATTGCAAAATTGCTGAATGTAAATCCTAATTTTACACAATCATTCCTCAAAAATAACAAAAAATATTTCACCATTGATAGAAAATGTTGTTGGTAGATATTGGAACTGGCACGTACCTAAAAAATAAACCTATGTAAATGAAAATTAGGAAACGTAACCATTACCAGGTAGGGGTGGGGGAAATAAAACAATACGTTATAGTATCACATTATTTTGCTTGGCGACAATGTGTCAATATGAGCTCCAAGTATCAATATTTTATTATAAATTGCAAATATGAAAATATTTTGGTTCTGAGTAATAAAATCAAAAATATTTTATACCAATACTGGTGCATGCAGCATAATTGACAGTTTTTTATGACAGTGTTGGTCAGTTGGTCTGCTTGACATTCTGCAGTTGAAAAAAAAATTACACAATAATATCATTTCATGGCTTAAGTATTGTGATGATATTAGCCTCTGGTGATTCTTACCCCTATTGACAAGGAAGTTGTTGGAGTTGAAACTGGAACTTACCTAATCTAAACTAATATCAGTCACTCATGCACATATGAATCCTGTCAAGTAATTAAAACATTTGCTTTCCTAACGGTTGCTTTCCTTAGATCTGTGGAGAAAGAGGAGAAAGATCAAAAAGCTCTGGAGGAACAGCTGGCCCAAGCCCAGGCCGAGTTAGAGGAAATCAGAGAACAGATGCGTCTGGGGGTCTATTCAGTGGAGGAAGCAGGAGCGAAACATGAAGGGGGCTCCGAGTCCCCTGAGAAAGGGGCAAATCTGGAGAACCAGCAGGAGCTGGAGGCGGAGCTAGCTAGCAAGAAGACAGATGGGGAGGGGCTTAGTGAAGGTGACAATGACACCATCCAACAGCTGAAACAGAGGGTGACAGAACTTGAGGCAGCTCTGCTATTCACGAACAGCTTGTAACACTCCAAAGAGAAAGGAAATCTTGAAATCGCATCATATGACCCCTTTAAATATAACTCCAATTTTTGACCAATCAGAGCACTTTCTGCACCTGTCGCCAGGCGGACGGACCTTAGAGGTGATACAGGAGGAGCTGGAAGTTGCAAGGCAAGATGCAGCACAAGCTCTGGACAGCCTTTGTGCCGAGAGAGAAAGCCGGGCTCAGGATGTACTACAGCTGAGAGATGCAATACCGCTGGTGAAACACCAGGAGGTGCTGTCCGCAATAGCCCAGCAGTTAGCGCAAACAGAAAAAGAGCTGCAAACAGAGCAGGCACTGCTTGAGCAAGCTCAAACTGAGCTCGCCAGACTGGAATCTGAGCTGCAGGCTGTGCAAAAAGACTCAGTTAGCAAGGAAGAACATGATAAAGTCAAGGTAGGTTACATAAGATGCTAAAATGTAGCATTGTCCAATTTGCGAATGAATCCTTTTAACGACTCATTCAAAATGATTCACAAAGCACTCATCTGTTAGAATTGATTCACTGAAGTAAAAACACGCATTTGGAATAGAATAAATGCTAATACTGCAGAAATGCTTTTTTCTCTATGCATAGAAAAGGGGTGTCCATTCCTGGTCCTGGAGGGCCACTGTCCTGCAGAGTTTAGCTCCAACCCTAATTAAGGAGTGTGTTGGGGCAAGTTGGAGTTAAGTTCTGCTGGACGTTGACCCACTAGGAGCAGGTTTGGACACCCTTGAACTATGGTTTCTGAGCTTGATTCTTCCTCACTTCAGGCAGAGCTAGAGCACTCTCTAGAGGAGAGTCGGCAGAGTGCAAGAGCGGCTCAGGAGTCTCTGAGTGAAAAAGAGACGGAACTGAAAGAGCTGCGATCGCAGAAAGCTTTAGAACAGGGACTGGTATCCAAAGAAGACCATGAGGCCCAGAGACTCTCCCTACAGGCTGAGATCAATACCCTGATGGCCCAGTTAGCCGATCTAGCACGCAAGCACGAGAAGACATGCACTGAGGTGTGTGTTGTCCTTGATGTTGTTTATGACAGTTTCCACTCCACCTATTTGCACATGATAAAAACGAGCCAAGTTTTATTTTTAAAAAGTCTCCTTCCGCAGGTGTTCCAGGTGCAGCGGGAGGCTTTATTTAATAAGAGTGAGCGTCAGGTGGCTGAATCCCAGCTGGAGGCAGTTAAAAAGCAGCTGGCGGATCTTCAGGCCGAGTCCACCCACATCCAACAGCTGCACCAGGACATCCAAGACTCGCAGGGGCTCATTAAGGAGAAAGACCGCAAGGTGTGAGGGTGAAAAAGTTGGGCTGTATCCGAATATGCCTACTTCCATACTATACAATCCGTAGTATGTCCGAATTCACAGTATTGATAAAACAGTAGGCGATAAGTACCTGGATCTCCAGTGAGACTCTGAAGTGCACATCTAATGGACACTTGACTATCCAATGAGGCCACAGGAGAGGAGTTGTGAACAGAGTGCAGCAGTTGGGTTCTGGAAGCAAAATCCCATTCATTTTCTCAATAGGGGAATTGATTTTTAACAACAACTTATAAACCATAAAAAGACCTAGTGTGAGCTACAAGGTTTTAATCGATGCTATATATATTTGTTGAAGTCATCAGTACATAATCATGTTCAGTAGTGGAATTAGTGGTGAGAAACTACATTACCCATAATTCTGGAAAAAATTCCACCAATCAGAGAATCGCATCAGTAAATTCCATCCAAATAACACTTTAGCGCCTGTCCATTCTCACAGATCACTGTGAATGATGTAAAAATCCATGATATGGACATTTGATTCTTTCTTTTTCCACTTTCTTACCGTCTCCCTGCAGATCACAGAGTTGTCTAAGGAGGTTTTTCGTCTGAAGGAGGCTCTGGGGGCTTTGACTCCTCCACTGGCACGTTCTCCATCGCCACCATCCTCAGGGATACCTGGACAACAGTTGGCACTGCAGAACCGTGTAACCTCATTAACACAGCAACTCCAGGTGAGCGTAACGCTCCTCGCTTTATCAGCCTTATTGATAATTACACGCTTAAAAATAAAGGTTCTTTATGGGCATTGATGGTTCCATGAGGAACCTTTAAGATCCTTGGAACCTTGCACAAAAGATTCTTTATAGTGGAAAAAAAGTTCTTCTGATTTGTATACTGTTCTTCACATGAAGAAACTAATGGTTATTTTAAGAGCTGTTCAAGGAAAGGTTCTTTGGGGAACCAAAAAAAGTTCTTCTGTGGCATTGCTGTGAAGACCACCTTTTGGAACCTTCATTTTTAAGAGTGTAGAAGAACTGATTTTGCTTCCCTAAAAAACTTTCAGTGAAAAGAACCATTTTTTCCTTAGTGTGAAGAACATTTTAATAAATCTCAAGAACCTTTTTCCACTGTAGAGAACCTTGTGCGGAATGGAAAGATTCCATGGATTGCCAATAAAGAACCTTTATATTTAAAAGTATGCGCATTTAAATGAATAACACACGTCTAAAGTCTTTCCTTTCATCTTGTGCTCAGGACTGGGAGCGCAAACACAAGACTGTCGTTTCAATATATCGTTCTCATCTATTAGCTGCTGTACAGGTGAGACACATAACCCAACCTTACATCTACAGGAACGTCTTATGTTACACATACCTATGTGACTGTTTATGACTTAACAGGGCCGGATGGATGAAGAAGTTCAGGCGCTTTTGCTTCAAATCCTCCGTATGACACAGAAAGGTCAAAATTAGTGCTTTGCAACTGACAGCAATACAAAGAGTTCAAGTGACTGCTATACGTACCCTTGAACCGAAGTGTATCACCACTGTGCACCGCCAACAAGAGGCACTGAAACTGAATGAGAAGATATAGTTTTGGAACATGACAGAGATGATTATATTTCCTGTATGTGATGATTTATGAGGGACAACACAGATACTTTTGTACCACATTTCAATAAACGGAGAAATGCTGCTGATGTGCCTTTCTTTGTAACTCTGCGGTTGACACTTTCTTTGCAGGCCTCTCACAGTACTGTATGTCAGAATTTACTTTGTGGTAAAAAGTACGTTATGATGAATTTCCGTGGTGTTAAAAAGATGCGTAGCACACCACAGGTAATCTATTTCAAACTCAGCTGGTATTCAGGTCTGGCACATCCACATGAGCTCACCACAAACAGCTGAGCACGTCTGTTAGTACAGGTTTCTTTTCCTTTTGAAATCAGAGTAATATTTCGTGTAAAATTCAAATTTGTTATGAACCTGTATTATTTTTTCTTCTGTTAAAAAAAAACAAGGAGATGCTTGGCAGAATGTCCAAGCTGCTCTTTTCCATACAATGAAGGTGGACGGTAGGGCTGTCAAAAAAAAAAAAAAAAAAATCCCATTTCGAATTAGTCTATAAATTTAGGATTTTGTTTTTTTGAGAAGTTTTCAATTAAAAACTTTCAGTTTGAAGTGTGAAATATTAGTGCCACTAACTATATTAAACTTAATGCAAAAATAATGACTGTTACCGAACAGGTTTTCTAATCACTTAGTCAATCAAACAAATAGCCCCGCCCCAAACTTATGCTATTGGTCAATGCTGCTATGTCGACCACAGTCGAGCCCCAACATTTACTCTTTCTGAGAATTTTGTATTTACAAATAGCTTACTTAATAGTCATCTCTCTGCACGTAAAGAAAATATTTTAAGAGTAAAACACTGGAAAAAATGACAAAACTAAAACATCCTCAGCATTTGGCAAGTAGGGAAACAACAAGAACAGAGCCAGTTGTCAAATATTGCGGGAAAAGAGAACATCAATGGGGAGCAGATCTTTACGTCAAAACTGAAACCAAGCCGTTCACACAGAACGCATATTTTATATATATATTCTATCACCGTTGCACTCGCGTCTCACACAAAAGAGCCGATTGTTTAGAAATCCATGTAAAATTAATGCTAGTTTAACTTTGAAAAAACAAATCTCAAGACTTTATGGCGGTTTTTTTCCCCCATCCCACTGCAACTCGTGTTTTTAAATGAAAAATTTACTCTTGTGTGATTGGTGTTCGGCCCTTTGTATTAAACTATGCATACATATATAATTTTCGGATTTCGTTTTTCAGCCATTTTGACAGCCCTAGTGGACGGTACAGAAAAGTCCATTTGAATGTTACAAAAGGTTTTTGTTTCAAATAAATGCCACTCTTTTTAATTTTCTATTTATCAAAGGATCCTGAAAGAAGCATCACAGTTTCCACAAAAATATTAGATAGCACAACTGTTGTCATCATTGATAATAGTAAAAAATATTTCTTAAGCAGCAAATCAGCATATCAGGATTATTTTTGATCAAATAAATGCATCCTTGGTGAGCATAAGAGACTTCTTTCAAAAACATCAAACCTCACCACAAACATTTGAATGATAGTGTACAATGTTAAGCTCTCAAAAATAACAAAACATCATAAAAGTAATCCATATGACTCGTGACCATCATTGCAAGTCGTATGGACAATAATGGCAACATTTGCATTTTGGGAGTACTGTTTCTTTAAAAATAAACCAAACATTTCCTTTTACTTTTCCCTTCCTGTTCAGTTTTATTGAGAATGCTTTTAGATCAGAGTAACAGAGCATAGAGAAACAACATCCTGAGAAAGTAAAGTGGTTTTCGTGGTGGCAATGAGGTCTAGAATACCTGGAGAAAGCTAGCCGCTAGCATTCACATTTATCTCAATGTCAGTTGCTAGGCTGGAGCAAGAACCCTGTAAGTATGTGTTTTGAAATATCTGTAATTTATATGTTGTTTGCAAAAACCCATGGATACTTTTAAATGCTTGTCAGTGGATAAAGATGCTTTTTGGACCCAAATGGTGTAGCTACAGCATCTGCTATCTGATTCTAATTTAAGTAGGCTAACTAGATAGACCCTGGCTATTCTTTCCATTTCTGCCATATTCTAATATTGCTGAAATAGTAAGAGTAGTGTGCTTTGTTATTCCAAATTCAGCTGCTGGCATACTGTACGCAATAGCTTAATAACAGAAACTATGATGCAGAAAGGATGTATAAACCCTAAGTAAGTGGAAGGATTTTTGAAGTAAAAAAATAAAAACTTCTAAGGCACTGGAATCTTCTTTTTGGATAGTGGGGGAAGACAAAGAAAATGTGGTTCTTTATACACTAGTGAGCCAGACTCTTCTTTTTATATAACCAGAATATTTGAACATTTATAGAGGCAGGTTTCATTTGATGACATTTCTCCAGAAAGCAGCTTTTAGGTTGAAATAAAATGGTTTGACATTACAAACTATTTATTGAAATGTATTAAAAAAAAGTTTGTGGTTGACTTTTGTGCCCAGATAAACAGCAAAATAATACATATGAGGACTTTAAAGGTGCATTCAGTAGTTAGCTAGCGTTAGCATTGCTCTTGTTTGTGTACTTTAAGTACCAAAGCCACATGGTGTTAAACGCTTTTTCTCATCATCAAATCTTATGTATGCCATAGCGATGTTTGCGCTCGTTTTTTTTTTTTTTTTTCCAGTCGTACAGATACTCCTGTTGTCTTCACTGATAAAGCGCAGCAAGTTTCATTGTCTAATTTTCGTTTTTCACATCACCAGACTACACTTCGCCACTAGCGTATCTACAGGATTGTGAGGATTTACTTTTTAGGGTGCATTCATATTGTACAGCGAAATGTCACGTCCATAGGAATCTGCGCAATCTAGAATTTTGTGTGAGGGACGCAAGAAAGTTAGCAAGGGATGCATTAGCATCAAAATTTTGGGGGGGGTGAAATGAGTGAAGCGATTGCGGCGAACACGATATTTGTCTCAATCGTGTCTTCCGCGCAAGTTGAAAAATTAACATTTTCAACTAAAGTGGGAAATTCGCATGAAGCGTTGTCGGTTGTATCAGAAAATGGAGGAGAGCATTATTATGTTTTTATTCAAGTAATGGTGTGTGCACACCAGAAGCGAACTTAATTATTCGCACGAGTAGATTACATACAAAGTCAATGCAAAGACACCAACAGATGCAAATTTGCACGGGCGACGCGATTGCCACGAAACGTGCGATATACGCCTCAATAACGTCTTCAATACGCCTCAAAATTCGCGTTGTCGCGCAAGCCAATCAGCGAAGAGCTTATTGACAATCGAGTTTGACACATCCGGTTGTATCAGAAAGAGCATTATGCAATGATTTTATTCGCACTAATGACACATTTCCCAAATTTCGCATCATATTAAAGTTTGTTACGTAAATCAGCAGCTTGTTTGTCAGCTGGTAGTTGATCAGGTGAATGGATTCCTATTGAAATGACGAAAATTCGCTTAACCTAGGCAAATGTGACGGGAACCTTGATGTGGATTTCGCATCAGATTCAAGTTTGCATTGTTGCAAATTCACATTTGCCAATAAAAAGTTGCTTAGTTTGGAACTGACCTCTGATTAAGCAGTGTTAGCTACACTATTGATAATGGATAACAAACCTTCTTTGCCCGCAAATTTACGCTTATGTTTTGTTAATGTGACCACATGTTTTTTTTAATGAGCACCAAACTACCGAATGCACCTTTAAACAAAACTGTACGCATTGTGGGTATTTGTTTGTGACTAAACACAAAAGAGAAATGGAATATTTGTTTAGTATAATGCATGTCTGAATCACTCAGGTTTAAAAAAGGGCAATATCACATGAGCACGACCCAAACGTTTGGTGCTGAGTTCATAAATGAAACATGTGCATTTGATACGACTGCATTAGAGAGCGACTGAGCTTTATATAATGTCCTTAAATACTGCATCCTGAGAGCAAACCGTTGGTAAGCACAACACAATGAAGTCCAGAGTGTCAGAGGTGACCGTCAGAGAAGATCAGAGCCACGGTTACTCAATACATCACATTTAGAAACAACAGCTCACTGACGGACGAGCGCTCGTATGGATGTAAAGGAATCAGACGGTTTGTCTCATGTGTTTCACATAAGTTCACATTTCTGAACAGTCTGCTGGGAAAAAGTGTTCACAAGCACTTTATTTCCCAATGCCAAACTCTCAGTTGGGGTCTTCTCTGTTGAAGAAGGGGTGGATTGAGCAAGACATGCTGAAAGCTGTTTGTGGTCAGTGCCTAAGGAACAGCGATATCCCACAAGTCCCAGTGGAAGCTCAGAGTCTGTTTAAGGCAATAGTGTGGGGCCTCTAGATTGGCAGCACAGGGGATGGCCTTGCACCCTAAAAAAAACACAATACATAAGCTATGAATTACCCAACCAAACAGCTTTGATAATCTGTAGAAAAATGCCGCAAACCTCTTACCATGTACCCTATATGGGCTTCAACCGGAAGTCAGTTCTTTCTGCAGACCACCTGCTGGAGGTGTAACTCGCTCTCTGCTGCAACAATCGGCAGCTTGTTTGTCAGGTGGTAGTTGATCAGGGGGCTGATGCTCTCAAAAAGCATGTCTTTAGTCCGAACCTAATGAAAAATGAATTAATAAATTATGGCCATATAAGGAAAATGTGAACTGATGTGGTTTAAGGGTGTTTTCATAATTGGTTTGACGGTGCAAAGTTAGATTATTTTTCATAATAATAATTAAAATAATTTTAGCATTTTATCCCTTTTTTGTTTACTTTTATTTTTTTTAGCCAACAAACATTTATAATTATTATTACTACTATTATTATTATTAATAGTATTATTAATTTTTATTTTATTTTTACTGACTTTTTAATAATAATTCCTATTTTTTATTTTTCACTTTAATTTTTAGCATATTTATCTGTATATTAATGTAATTTTTTCTTAGTTTTTTAATAACATTATTCTATTTTATATTAATAATACATAACACATTATAATTAATATTATTTTATTCTCATTTCAATTTTATTTTCTTATTTGTTTAGTTTTTAATTATTTTTGTAGAATTATTAAATTTGAATATATTTATCAAAATACTTTTATAGTGTGTCCTGTGAATCATTTTATTTATGAACAGTGCTATACAAATAAAAAACATTTATTTTTAAATATATAATAATAATAATAACTGTTTTGAATTTTTACTTTAATTTTAGCATTTTTAATCTGTTTTATTTCACTTATTTTATTTTTTTATTTTGTGTATTTTTTTCTAAAATATTAATGCTATATAAATATAAACATTTATTTAATAATTATTATTGTTGTTGTTGTTGTTGTCGTCATCAACAGAACTACGACAATCAAGCAAATCATTAATAGACAACTTATCAGGCAAATAAGGCCTGGATTGCTTTCATATCAATAGTGAAATATACTTTGATTCCACATACCTGTACAACATACCCCAATCCTCCTTTTCAAGAGAACTTGGGGGTTTCATTGATTACTTTGTGAGTTCTTGGAAACCCAACTCTGACATCAAACTGGATCCTCATCAAAATCTACAGTATAAAAACTGAGCTTGAAGCGCCACTCACCACTCCTTCAGGATCCACCAACAGCAGATGTTTGGGAAGCCCACACTGCATCCCAGTCAGCACATACTGGCCCGGGTTAGTGGCGCTGTCCCTCACCAGGAAATCTCCATCTCGACCCAGCAGATTCTCTGCGTCCCTGCGGCTCATGCGGCCATGGTACCACATCTCCCGCCGCAGCTGGTCCTCCGTGGGGGCGACGGGGGCCCGGCGCCGCGGGGGACTCGGCCACTTGTCCTCCAATACACAAACTCCTCCAGCCTCGTGTAGACGCAGGGCGTCCTCAAATGGCCCTGTTGGGTTGAAAACAGTACGAATGGTAGTTAACGTATTCATCAAACATATATAATCGTAATACAGTCATTTGTAGTGGACTCACTCATATCAAAAATGTCTTTCTTTGGACTCTCGGATCTGCGTCCTCCTCGGGCATCCATTGAGGCCTCCATGTTGTCCAGATTCTGGGTGTTTACATACAGATGTTCCTCGTAATCGCGGCTACCTGTAGGATGACCATCTGCTCGGAGGTAACCATCGGAAGTCAAAGCTACAGAAATGGTGAAAGGAAAATAAACAGGTTACTAGACTCTTAAAAATAAATGTTCTTAATTGGCATTGATGGTTCCATGTAGAACCTTTAACATCCATAGAACCTTTCTGATGAAAAAATGTTCTGAAAAAGTTCTTTAGATTACCCACTAAGAAAAAAATGGTTATTTTAAGGTTCTTTGTGGCACCAAAATGGTTCTTCTATAGCCCTTCAGGAACAGGTTTGGACACCCCTGTTCTATGGCATCGCTGCGAAAAAACCCTTTTGGAACCTTTATTTAAAGAGTGTAAATAACTAAGCAATTAGAAGGGAACATCTGGAATATCAAACCCAGTAAAAGGCTCAGAAATCACTTCAAAGTACTAAAATATCACAAGAGTAACGTAATGCTGATAAATAACCAGCAGGCGTCTCACTTGAGCTGCTGTTGTTCTCCGTGTCCCAGTGCACTTCATAACACAAGTGGGCGGCAGCGAGGCTGCCTGCATCTCTTTTGGCCAGTGACCCCATCTGAAAAAATAAGCACAGGTGTGAGATCAGTTGCATGAGTACAACACACTTGTATAGATAGATAGATAGATAGAAATTAAGATATTGATTTTTTTTCAGTGCAGAAAGTACTTAAAGCAAATAATGATAGATGGTTTGACAGGTCAGGTTAAAGAGGTCAAAGGTTTCAAAAGGTTAAGTCATTTTAAAAATAAGCATTGATAACTGAAGAATTGCTCATTTCTTACAAATGGCATATGGGCTTTCAGCTTTCATTACAGAATGTGCTGTATTCATAAACAGCTATTTGTCTGAAGCCATTAGCGTTATGCTAACTAACACCACTAACAGAAATGGATGTTTCTTTATTAAGACCAACCTTAGCGAATTGTCTCCACAAACTTCATGCTGTTCATAAAAGACAGCAATAAAAATCTACACACATCTATAATAAAGTCTATATAATAGTTTACCTGAGCGGTTTTGCTCTGTGGTTGCGTATGGACGTGACCCAGTAGGCCCGCAGGAGGCCTGAGCCTAGAGTCCACCACTCCCCCCACAGGAGGCTCCTTTCCTGGGATGCTGTTGTAGTAATCGTGCTCAGAAGATTCCTCGTCATCACCCCATGCCGACTCTTCTGTTCGTATGGTCCTAACCATTAAATAAAGCTATTTAGCATCTTAGAGATCAGTGAAAGTAAATGTATATTTAATATAAATATATAAATAATTTGGTACTGGAATGTATCAACAGAAAACAGTTTATCTAGCAGTGTGTACTTAAAGATTGACAATATTACCTATTATTTGTGTGTGCTTTATGTTTAACGAGTATAAAGCTGAGTTCACATCTACCGTTGTTCTGAGTGAGCAAAATCCAGTCATCTTAATAGCAATTGGGAATTTCATGTGAGGGTGGTGAACAATTTCTCCTACAGGTTCAAGATGGTCACACAAACTCACCAAATTAACCAACAAAAAAAAGTGTTAGTTAAAAAAGTGTTGGTTAGGATGCTGCCAGTATAGGGAAGTAGACTACAAGGCAGCCCACTATGTTTTGGAAGACTGTTTATATTAAAGTCAAGAAAGCGCATGTTACAACGATGATTTGAAACAGAACAAAATGAAAGAAATGATCCATTAATGATGCGACACTGAGCAGTCCAGAGCAGTTTCTGAGAACCCCTTAAATGAATTTAGCTTTAAATAACGGCCTGGAATCAAAACAGGATGGCTATATGAAACACAAGCCGTGTGTATCCTGTTTCAACCTTGCGAAAACTGCTCAGAACTGAAGCTCAGTATTAACTGCAGGTGAAACGATGAAGCAACTACTATAATTTTCATGTTGTGATGCATTCAAAAGCCCAAACAGACAATATGGTTTATGCGAAATTATGTGAATCTCACCTATCCATGGTGGGAATTGCTTTGGGCGGGCTGTGTAGGTACTGTTTGAACTGCAGTTCGAAAGCCTGGCCGATGGTACTGATCACATTCTGAGCAAGACCGTCACAGCACTCCAGGATGTGACATGCTAGAGGGACGAGAAAAAGGTAACATTGTTCATATGTCAGAAATCTAGCCAAAATAGCATGTGACAAACAAATAAAACTGAAAATCAAAGGGAAATAGGATTCTGTGCATAATATGCATGAACAATCAAATCTAAAATGAATAAAATATAAAAAAATGAATATATAAAATAAAAACAAAAAAATAATTATTCTAAAAATACCTCTTTGATTGACAGGGTCTTTGGCCACATAAGCGACGTAATCGGGTGTATCCTGCAGCACAAGATGAAATCAGAGTAAGAATCAGGTGGCATTTATTAGTGGAGAAAGAAATGGTAAGAGTGGAAAGAAGAGGCATTAAACATGCAGAAGAGGCCTCACCGAGTCTCCACCAGAGGCGAAAGATATGGACTGCATGGGGTGATGGGCAATCGCCTACATAAAGAGATGAGAGTGAGATGATGTGATATCTTCAATTCAAATCAATATTCAGCACTTATTAAAAAAAAATTTTTTAAAAACTGTCAAGGGACTACAAGAGTTCTGAAGCCACTTAAAGGGGCAATATTTTTTTTTAAGAAAAACTATTTACTACAAATAACTTAGACTTGGAAAATTAGAAACATCCTACTTTAAAGGGTTAGTTCACCCAAAAATGAAAATTCTGTCATTAATTACTCACCCTCATGTCATTCCAAACCTGTAAGACCTTCGTTCATCTTTGGAACACAAATGAAGTTATTTTTGATGAAATCTGAGAGATCCTCCATAGACAACAAGGGAACTGAAATGTTTTATGGCCCAGAAAGGTAGTAAGGACATTGTTAAAATAGCCCATGTGACATCAGTGGTTCAACCTTAAATGTATGAAGCTACGAGAATATTTTTGTGCGCAAAGAAAACAAAAAAGTTACTTATTTTTTGTAACGATTTCTTCTATTCCGGGTCAGTCTCGGCCGCCATTCACGAAAAAGCTCTTGGATTTCATCAAATATATCTTAATTTGTGTTCCGAAGATGAACAAAGGTCTCACGTGTTTTGAACAATGTGAGGATGAGTAATTAATGACAGAATTTTAATTTTTGGGAGAACTAACCCTTTAAGCAGTTAAGTCAAAACATATAACTATTTACTACAGTGCTGGAGAGGAACTTAAATCAGTGAAACATTTATCAAAAAATCTGAATCTATTCATCCAAATTAACTGATTCACTAAAATGAATCAAACTTTCCATAGCTAAACAAGTGAGAAAAGTTGTTTGTTCTGATATGATTTGAAGGGATATCCAGCATGAGAGGAGGCCGACCTGTCGTGTGGTGGGGACGAGGAGACTCAAGCCATCAATGGAGATGTTGACGCCGATGCTCATTCCAGCAAAACGTAGGTTACTCTTCCCCATGATAGACTGGAGGGATTTATTGGTGGTCTAAAATGGGCAGCAAAACAAACATTTGGATGTCACTACATTTTCTTAGATTTATGCTTAATAATAAAAAATGCCAAGGCCAAAACTACAGTTTTCTCTCTTACTTTCTTCTTCCAGGCAGCTTTTCCTCCAGGTACAGTTTCACACAACCTGTTGATGGCCTCCCTGTGTTCACACACACACACACATTTACAAAAAAAAAGAGCACTATCAGAGAAGTATTACCAGATCTCGAAATCTCACATATCTGGAAAACCCATAACAAACAATTTCCCATGTGTTTCAGTGCAACCACAGTGTGAAAATAAATGAGGAATGAGTCTGAGCCTAAGCATAATGCTTATTCAAAGCAGGTCAACAAACAGGGGCCCATCTGTATATTGTCAATGGATAAAATAATAAACGGAGCAAAGCAAAACTCTAAAATCATAGGACACAATTTCAAAAACGTAAAGCAAAAGGAAACAAATAAAAAAACAAACCAAAGGACAAAACATACATACATACATCAATAAATACTGTGTCATAAACAAACCAAATCAAAGCAAAATAAAACCAAATCAAAGCAAACCAAAAGAAAACCAAATAAAGGTAAAATAAAACAAATAAAAACAAAGTAAGAAACAAGCCAAAACTAGGGATGCACCGATACCACTTTTTCCAGTACTCGCCCGATACGGATACTTTTATTTTTGGTACTTGCCGATACCGAGTACCGATACCGATATTTTTATTGCATTTGTACATTTTTTAAATATTGGGTACAGAAACCAAAAGAGTATGTATAATGTTAGTTGGTTAACTTCATTCATCAAATAGATACAGTCAAACCAAAATTTATTCAGACACCTTCAACATTTCTCACATTATCACAGTTTATTCGCTATAGTTTAGAAAATGGTAATAAAATATGACAAGAACTCAGAGTTAAACTGAGTCAGAACAAATTCAGCTTGATAATGTCAGATAACTTTGATAGAAAGGTATGTAATAGATTACAATCAACCAAAA